AAAGTAAAGATGTGTAACTACGCTGATGCCACACACTCTATCAGCAAGATGTGAGATCTGTCTCAAAAAACAAAAAAAACAAACAAAAACAAAAAAATCTGAGATAACTCTCTGCCAGCTAAGATACAAATCACAATGTCCTTCTGTGTAAAAATTTCAATTCTTTGCCACATTTCCCATTCCTTTGAGCATTTTCCTTTTGGAATTACAGCGTTGGAATATTGTGCCACCATGCCAGGCTAATTTTTTCTGTTTTTAGTAGAGACGGGTCTCGCTCTTGCCCAGGTTTGTCTCGAACTCCTGAGCTCAAGCAGTCCTCCCGCCTTGGTCTCCCAGAGTGCTGGGATTACAGGTGTGAGCCACCACACCTGGCCCAGTTTTTTCAGTCAATAGAGATACATCTTTCTTTTTGTTGAAAATATAATTCTCATAAAAAAAAAGAAACTTGAGAGCAGCATCTCATTTATACTAGAGGTATGCCAGAAAAGTCTGGCTTTTGGGATGTAAATGGTCTCAGAGGACATTTTGTCTAAAGAATGAAGGGATTAGGAGCATGGAGCCGACTGCCTGTGTTCATACCCTGGCTCAGCCGTTTCCCCCTGTAAGACTGGTCTCTCTCTGCCACAGATCCCTTACCTATAAAATTGAGATGGTACTACGTCCTACCTCATAAAGTGATTATGTAGATTAATGGAGTTTATGCATATAAAGAACTTAGAACAGTGCTGAGGCTGTAATATGTGTTGTACGTGCAAGTGTTTGCTAGTGTTCTTTGTTTATTTGAGGTTTTTAGTTGTGTGTTTCATTTTTATTTTGATTGTAATGATAGCTTTAGAGTTTTGTTTTCTCTTTCTCTTTTTTGACACAAATTATGAATTCAGTACCTTAAAATAGGGTCTTAAATTTTTGCTATCATTAAATGATGAAATTTATTCCTTTGTTTTAGCATTGTTTTGCCCTTTCAAAGAAATATTTTAACTGATATTATGATGTGGTTAAGAAAAAATGAATTTTTTTTTTCAGCATTGATTGAAATCTTAAGAAATGGAAAATATTTGTACATATTTGGCAACCAGAGTAATGAAAGTTGAATTGATGAGTTTTACTTCATATTGTTTAAATTTAAATATTAGGTTTGAGGCAAGATGGAAAGACTCTGCTAATTACGAATATTGACATGGAGCCATGCACAGTAGACCCCCAGCTAAGGATTATTCTTCAGTGGCTTGTTGCCTCTGAGGCTGAAGTTGCAGAACTTTATTTTCATGACCCTGCAAAGAAGGAGTTTATACTAGTAAGTACCTACCGCGTGTAGTGGTTATGAGGATACATGTAATAATTCTTGTTTTATAATGTGGTTGATCTAATAAGATGCCTCTTGATGGCTGAGTGGTTAAATGCTTAGGCTATAGCATCCAGCAGTTTGGGTTCATTTGTCAGCTCTGCCACTCTAGCAGAGTAACCTGGGGCAAGTTAACTAGTCTTTCTCAGTTCCCCTAGTTGCACTATGGAAATGAATATAGAATCTACCTTATAGGCTTTTGTGAGGATTAAATATATACTGTAAAAAGAAAAAAAGCTTAGTCTGAAGCCTGGCACACACTAAGTGCATGTGTTCCTATGAGAAGGTTGTTATTCTCTGTATTTAATTGACTCATAAAAATTGTACCTAATAATTAATATGTCTCTCTGGTAATCCAGTTTCATTCGTATGAGAAGCTGGCATAATCAAAGCCAATAAAAGTTTAAACAATACTTTTATTGAGTGCTTTCTATGTGCCAAGCACATTATTTGTCAAGATTTTCAGCTTATAGTCTTAAAGTTTTTGTCCCATAATTTTCCTTATCAGAGCTTTGGTTTAATTTTATCATAGCGTATAGAATAGTTCAGTGAATAAGAATGTAGATTGATCAATAATAACAAAAAAGGAGCAATAAAGTTACTTTTATTTTCTGGTTCAGAATTTATGAAGATATTTTTTAAAAACACATTATACAAACATTTTTTGTTTTGTATTTTGTCATTTATTTTTACTTAGACTTTTTGGATGTTTCCAGTTTAAGTTTCTGTTTTGGGGCAAAAATAAAAAATAAGACAGAAAGGGATATTTGGGAAATGAACTGCCAAGGGGAAAGAATGGCTAGGGGAAATGTTAGAACTGACTTTAGGGAGTCATTTAGTCTTGGATAAACTGAGAGTGAAGGAAGGCCTTAGGTGGAGATGAAAGAGACAAGGCCTGGATACCCCATGTTACCGAGCTCAGGAGACCTATGCCTGATGATGGAGTGAAGTGAGATGCTTAAATGTGGATGACAATGCCCGATTATGGCTTATTCTGAATAATGACCCTCATTGACCATATCTGGCTAAAACCCCAGGAAGCTAGGAAGCTATAAAGTTAAGAAGCAAGTACATAGAATATTTTTAGTGATAATGATGATGATAGAAATACTTTATTTTGTATCTTTCTAGGTAATATACAATTAATTCTGATAGCTTTACTATTAACTAGAATAAGCACTATTACCATAAGCATTAACTAGAAGGTAAGAGATAATTATATAATTGATAATATAACATATTTTAAGACTTTCTTGTGCCTACACAAGAAAAAAGTGAAAAAGGAAAAAGTAGATCCAAATTCAGAACTTTTGTGGTTCAAAGGACACCATCAAGAAAGTGAAATAACAACCCACAGAATGGGAGAAAATATTTGCAAATTATATATCTATTAAGGGATGTACATATACATTCTTGTACCTAGAATATATAAAGAACTCTTGCAACTCAGTATAAAAATAAAAAGAATCCAATTGAAAATAGATGAAGAATCTGCATAGTTGTTTCTCCAAAGAAGATATACAAATGGCAAATAAATACAGGAAAAGATGCTCAACCTCATTAGCAATTAGGAAAATGCAAATCAAAACCACTATGAGACACCACTTCACGCCCACTAGGATGGCTATAATCAGAAAGACAGATTAGAAGTGTTGGCAAGGATGCAGGGAGATTGGATCCTTCATATATTGCTAGTGAGAATGTAAAGTGGCTCAGCTGCATTGGAAAACATTCTGAAAGGTAACTCAGCATGTCCCCCCTGAGGTATATACTCAAGAGAAATGAAAACATATGTCCACATTTGTACACAAATGTCCATGGCAACATTATTCATAATGGTAATAAGTGGAAACAGCCCTAGATGTTCATCAACTGATGTGAATGGATAAGTAAAACGTAGTATATCTGTCTGTAAAAAATAATGAGGTACTATACCTGCTACACCATGGAGCAACCTTGAAATAATTATGCTGAGTGAAAGAAGTCGGTCACAAAAGACCACACACATGTTTTATGATTCCATTTACATGAAGTGTCTGAAATAGGCAAATCTATAGAGACCAAAGGCAGATTAAGTGGTAGCCTAGAGTTGAGGAGATTGTGGAAAATGGGGAGTGATTTCTAATGGGGTGGGCTTTCCTTTTGGTGTGATGAAAATTATTCTAATATTGATTGTGATGATAGTTGCATTCAACTCAGGGAATATGCTAAAAACCATTGACTAGTACACTTTCTGTGAATTATATGATATGTGAATTATATCTCAATAAAACTGTTTAAAAAAGGTTAGGCATATTTATATTACAAAAAATTAAAGTGATTTTTCAGAATTTCACTTACCAATCTTTCAAAACGTAAGAACTTTTATAGAACTCAATAGGAATAAAAAAATGAGCAAGGCATGTTCTGATTGTTGACAATAGAGTTCATTTAAATCTGTATTTATCTACTTTTTTGGTATTTTTCTTTTTGTTGAAACATTAACATTTCTTAACTTTTCAAAAGCCATGTTTCCATTGAGGCTAGAGTGTGTATTCTAGAAAAATACCTCACTATATGTTGTGGAAGGAAAATCCGCATCCTTTTATTAAGCTTGACGTTGTCTTTATTATTTTATGTTCCTAATTGAGGGTGTGGCAGATGTATTTAGTTAGGTGAAGGATTTCCTGTAGAAATTATCCTCTGCACTCCCACACAGACTATCTGCTTGGTGAGGTTTGTGGAGTTCTGTTTCCAACAATCCCAGACTGTCATTCTGTGGAGGAGATGTGTTTATAAAGGGCAGGAAAGGAAAATGTTTAATTTGGGTTAAAGGGGGTGGTGGTTTAGGGCAGAAGACCTCTTTACAGCTAGGAAACAACAATTAACGGTAAACAACAGGATTCTTAGTTTTATCTAATGTTAAAAATAAAAATGAAAACTCAGCTGTTATAAAATCGTTTTTAGTTTATGCTTGTTATGTCTTTCTTTTTTAGCTTTCAAAACAATTACAAGAAAAAGGATGGAAAGTGGGAGACCTCCTGCAAGCTGTGCTTCAGTACTACGAAGTGAAGGAAAAAATTGCCAGTGAGGAGAGATGCAAGTCCCTGTTTGATTGGCTCTTGGAAAATGCATAGAACAAACCCCAAGCCAGTGTATTATAGTATTTGTTTTGGGAGGGGAAGAAACAGATAAAGATGCTTAGGATAAAATTCGAATAGTGATTATTAACATTTTAAGTGAATTGGGAGGAAACTAAATAGAGCTTTTTAAGTGCTTTATGTCATCACACAGTGTATATAGTTCATACTTTTGTAATCTGTAAAAATATTATCTTCATGTATTCTTCTGTACACACGTGTGTAGTACGATAAGACCCTAAGAACATGTATTTGAAGAAAAGTCTAACCATGAGGTTTTCAGGGGCATTGTCTGACAGCGTTCTTTTTGCATCCAAATTGTGCTGCTAGCTGCTGCACTGAAGAGGCTGAGGATAGTTCCAGTGATGCAGTTGTAATTTTGCTCCTTTGCAAACAAATGGCATCTCATTAATAACTAGTCTGAGATCAAAAAAATAAAATTGAGGCTAATTTTTTTGTTTGTTTCTGGTAGATTTTTTTGTCCTGTTTTTGAAAATTAATTTTATTTTCATAGTATTCGGCTATTGGCAGTTTTTTGATTTCCCCAAAGTATTTCTTAGCAGAAACGTTAATATTTTTGGTTTCCATGAACACTGTGATAGTTTCCCCAGCCTTTCATCCAATGACATATTTGCCAATGCTGGCTGCTTATGCAGTCTTTCTGGCATGAAAGTGATGGGTGTGTGTGTGTGTGTGTGTCCCTGTGTGTGTAAAAGAGTACTTTAACCTTGCCAGTGGTGTGTTCCTTCTTTTATTTTAGTGTTTTCTTTGTTAAAAACCCACTGTTAATATTAAAAAGGTGCTTTAAAATAAAATGTCTATAAAGATTGTGCAGTAAGAATTTTTATTTGTCTTTTTGGCTATTTTGGGGCCCCAGCTTATCCTGTAAGTGAAAATTCAAATTGGAAAACATTTTGAAATTTTAAAAATTAATATTAATATGGAAATGCATTTGGAGAAGCCCAATAATTGTTTTCATTGTTGGATTTTTGAAAAAAAAATCTCCACTTTACTAAAGAGGATAAGTTTTTTTCTAGAAAATATGGGAATTTTTTCCCCCCTTATAAAATGTATCTGCACTATTTTGTAAAGTTCTCTACCATAATCTTCCTGGGCTCTACGTTTCCTACTACTTTGTCTTTAGAAACTGCAAGTTGATGTGAATAAGGGACCAAGCTTGTGTCTTGGTTTTGTATGTGTGGGGGTGTGTGTACATTTTTGATTCTTCCACTAGTGGATTTTTGTAATCTAGGGTAAATCACTTTTTGTGGGAGCTTTGGTTTTGCTCCTTCACATTTTCTTTTTTCCTAAGCACTGGCTTTTGAAAGCTGCACAAAATGTAGAAGACATTGCACCTGCCAGGGAATAGGAAATAAGGGCACTTAACGTTAATGTGAATTAATAATTATGGTAGAGAAATGTGTTTTATAGTGAGAGATTCAAATTTGCTTCTTAAGAAAAATGCCAAAAAGCTATTTAAATATTTTGAGGTTACATTGTAAGCTTTGGTTTTTCTTAATTTAAGATACAGAAATAGAGCAAGCCTTAAACATAAATTTTCCTAAAGTTTCTTCAAGTATTTTTTAAGGTGGAACAATGTAGGAAATTTATAACCAAGATTGTTCCTCCCTTTAGCTTTTTAGAACTTGAGATGTGGCAGTACTGAACTGAATTTCTGAACATTAGGACCAGGAATGGTTGCTTTTGTTAATTATAACATGGACTAATTGATCATTAAGTTTAGATTACATTTTTATAAATGTCTAACTATCAAATTGTGTTTAGTCGCTTGGGTATATGTACAGGTTTGGTCAACAGCAAAATTGAATTCTGAATTTATTTTATTGTTTTTTTTTCTCTGAATGTGACCTTGTTTGGAACTGATTTCTTTTAAATTAAAGTGACAATATATTCGTTTTGTAAAACTTTCTGTGTTAGAAAATGTTTATGTTTATTTCTGTTAATGGTATAATCACTTTGAGGTGAGGTTTTCCTCATATTCTTATTTCCTTTGTATTATTGCTGGAACTGTGCTAGATTCGGAGTTTCCTAATTTAACCACTACCTAATGCCAGGCCAGTCATTAGGTATTAGCAGGTGTGGTAGTAATAATAATAGAACTCCACACGTCCATCAATTCAGTGCAGGAGCATAGAGAAATATATTAAGTATTGGAAGATGTGAAGAGAAGTATGAGTTAAGCTTTCTCATATAGAGAGAAAACATTCGGGTTTAGAGCAGTATCTTTTAATAAAATATAGTCTAAACTGAACTTTCTTTAAAGGCACTTTGTGATTTTCCAAAGACGTTCTAGATTTGTTTGGTTGCTCCATCTTCAGAACAGCTCTGTTGAGGACAGCTCAGTCATATTTTATTACAAATCTGCTTGACATATTTATATTGTAACTTTGTAATATTGCCGTTCTGCACATTTTGGCCCTTATGAGGAATGTCTTTTTCAGAACCGTTACAGTTGTGATGTGCATTGAGCTGAATTCTCTGCTAACCACTTTCAAAACCTTCGAGCAATGTGTGGAAAGAAAGTGAATGAGACTGCTGATAGGGGATTTTCAGGATCTTATTTCAGACTGAAATGTGGCAGTTCTTTCATGTTCTTCTTTTCCTAAGCCAAGTTTAAATTACATTGATATTTTTGGTGTTGATAGTGATCTTGAAAATATTTCCTGATTTATACAAAAGGAGTGATTCATTTATAAGTCGCAGAAGAAAAGATAGTATCTGTTGGATGGTTTAATACAATTTAATGGTGTTATAAAACCTTTAAGAGTATTCACCCAGTGAATATACATAACATCTTTATACTTAGGAAAATGTTTCACTTACCCTTTCAGATAGTTGATGTGAATTAATTTAATTCATAATACTTTAATTTTGCTTAAACAAGGGTTTTACGTTGGCTGCTAAGAGAATTTAATTACTTATTAAATGTCACTGTGTATAAAGTGAAAGATAGTTTGCCCATGTGAGTTTGACATTAGTGCACGTTCCCCAAATGCAAAGTTTAATCTTGATTCATCATCAGAGTCCAGATTGAAATGTCTACTTATTTACCTAATGTTATTCTTCCAGAATTAATATATTCAGTTTTCCACCAATATATTACTTTACATTTTATGTTTTTCAAAGGAATCTTTCCATAGAATTATTTTTAAAATGACACACCCATAGTCTGGGTGTAGGGAAAAAACTTTCCATTTAAAACCCTGTCTGCCTGTTACCGGCACAAGAGAATAAGAGCTTCGGTGGGAATTATAAAAATTGTACTAGAGTGAAAAGCATTTTTTCTCATTTTCAGCAAAAATCTTGTAAACATTTACTCATTGACTGTATTCCTGCTCTGAAGATGCAGATACAGTGTTAGTCACTCTTGTCACTTTATTTATTTATTTTTTTTACCATCTGTGTACATTCCTTTCATAGTAGTTCTAGAGATTCTTATTTTGTTTTTGTTGTGATGTTTCAATACTATTTAATATCAGGTTTTAATATTGCTGGATTTGCTACCTTTGGTTACTTGTGCAGTGTTAAAAAAGCTACATTCTTGTTTAATATACCAGATATATAGCAAAAGCAGCTTTTAATAATTATAGCTGTTTATTTGGCTGTGCTCAATTACTACATTAAGATTTTGTACTGTGTAACAGTAACTTTTTTTTTTTTTTTTGCTCTTCAGTAATTTAATATGTTCACTTACCGAAATATGAACTTCAGGATGCACTAAAATTTTGTTTTAGCAGTGGCTCAAAAAAAATTCAGAAATTTCTTTTGTAATAATTTGCAATTAATTGTTCTTTTATCTTACAATTGTTTAAGCCTGTGATCTTTCTTCTCCCAACTAAGAGTTCTTCAATAAATTTAAGAAATACCTGTCCTTCGTTTTCATTCTATAATATCTTATTAACTACTCCATACTGAACTAAAACGCAAGTATACAAGTGGGACTGCTGTGATAGAAGACACATAAAAGGATCCAAATGCTCAAACCATGGTTTTTGAGAATGAGAGAACTTAGGAATGTTTTAAATTTTACTCTGGAGTCTACCTACTTATGGGTGCCCCCAAATGCTGATGTAAGTGATTTAAAAGGCTAGTTGCCCAATCTGTTTTGGACTTAATGCAAAGTAGAATTTTATGGTTGCCTTGAATATGAGCATAGTTATGAAATTCTTCTGGCCTGGTTTGAGCACTCTTTCGTTTTAGTAGAGATCATTCGTCTGTCATACCATGTACAGGAGATACTTAAAGACTAGCTGCTGGTTTTTTATTGCTAACGGAATTTGACTTTGTCTTCAGTTTGTTTTTGTTTTTTTCCTTGTATATAGGCTTTGTTTTTTAGAGCATTTTTAGGTGCATAGCAAAGTTGAGAAGAAAGTACAGAGCTCCCATGTACCCTCTGTCCTCACTTCACCCCCAGCCTCCTTCACTATCAATACCCCACAACAGAATGGGATATTTGTTTCAATCTTTGGACCTACATTGAAACACCAATCATGCCATTATCATCCAAAGTCCATAGTTTACATTAGGGTTTACCCTTGATGTTGTACATTCATTGGGTTTGGACAAATGTATAATGATATGTATCCACCATTGTAGTATCATATACATCATTTTACTGCCTTAAGTATTTTAAACTCAGAAATTAGGGAATGATCTCTTAGTTTTTCATGAATGTTTCAAAATGCTAGGAAGTAATAATAGCAAACATGGGAAGATTTGGGTATAAGTATATCCCAGTCACTAAGAAAACAAAAATGCTGACAAAAAGTAAGCAATATTCCAAAGACTGTAATTCCAAAAGAAAAATGGCTCAAAGGGAATGGGAAATGTGGCAAAGGACATTTGACAATTTTACACAGAAGGATCATTTGTGATTTGTATCTTAGCTGGGACAGAGAGGAGGAGTAAGGGACAGGGCTTGAAGAGTTATCTCAGATTGGTTGGTTTTTTTTTGTTTTTTTTGAGACAGAGTCTCACACTCTTGCCTGGGCTAGAGTGCTGTGGCATCAGTGTAACTCACAGCAACCTCAGACTCCTGGGCTCAAGCCATCCTCCTACCTCAGCCTCCCAGGTAGCTGGGACTACAGGCACGCACCACTATGCCCGGCTAATTTTTTCTATTTTTAGTAGAGATGGGGTTTCTCTCTTGTTCAGGCTGGTTTCAAACTCCTGAGCTCAGGCAATCCCCCCACCTCAACCTCCCAGAGTGTTAGGATTACAGGCGTGAGCCACAGCACCTGGCCCGAGTTACCGGTACCACAGATTTTTAAAAGTGTGAAAAGTGGTCATGTATCCAAGGATGGATCCTACTATTAGTGCTATTATGCAAAAAGCATAAGGGTAAAAATCTGAGTTTTTTTGCAGTATACTATTTATAGCAGGAACAGTAAAGAATATGTTGCATTTTTTCCTCTGAAAAATTTTTATAATTTTTATAATTATTTTTATAA